TCGGTAAAGTCAAGAAATTTGCCACAGTTGCCGGTCTAACTGTTGGGCCGTTGGGCAAGTCACGAATTTTGTTTTAACTCAAATTAACTCACCAATCACTACCTTATCACTTGACTTATCTAGTTGGATTTAAAGCATTTATATTTTTTTATATTAACCTTTGATAATTAATTCAAAATCGAGACACGTCGGATCTTATAAGAAATAATTTTTCCAACACTTGTTTATTTCATTATTAAACTCGAACTCAATACGAACTATTTAAGAAAAATTAAATTTTTTTCACTCGTATCAATAGATCATTGATAAGTATTTATGATTTTGGCATAACCAAACCAAACTAAGAGATGGAAACATGGTAAGCGATTACAAGTTTAAAGAACAAAAGTATTATGAATTGTATCAGCTAGGAAGAGTCAGGACGTCTTTCTGGGGAGTGTGATGGAACAGTGGGAGCTGGTTGGGTAAAATTTAAAACCCATCAAAAACCTAATCAGTGACGATATCAATGATTCAACACATAACAGAACTCAACTAAATATATAATACATGGCAGCCTCTGAGCATATTTTCCTCGGTGCAACTGCTCTGTAACATGCTAGAAAAGGAATCCAAAGCACTGTTTTTGCATCAGATACGGAACCAATTTGGGTGCTTGCCTTTGGACATTTTGGATAAGACCTAATTGCATTTGAATGATTTATCAATTAATGTATCATGGATGAGCTGCCTACCTTTTTACAGATTCATGAACAATATAACAAACTGTACAAACAGGTTTAACTTTCCTACAAAAAGTCAAGCCCATTGTAGCACTTGCTCTTGTAGTCCAGTTGGAGAAGTACACCTTGCTCCCAGCCAAGAGGTGGTTCGATCCCCACCCCCCCACACTTGTAATAAAAAATAGTCAAGCCCATTGTCATGTATAGCACCTTCACATGTGGAAATCATGAACTTTTTCGTCTCGCCCCCCGTTGAATGATTCAACGTCTACTATTTAAATTATATAATATTTTTATAAAAAGAAAAATTATTAGAAGATAGATAAATTTTTCTTAAAAAATTTGTTTTGGGAGTGTTTACGTCAAGGGTTCAAATATATTAGATAGTGGATATCCTTAGTAATTATTTTAAAACTTGTTTTTGTAGTTTAAATTATTATAAATTATAAAATTTATAATTTATAATAATTATTATTTATAATTTAAATGTAATATATTTATACTATTTTAATCTTTTATTGTGATATTTTATTAAAAAATAATTTTTTTTCTCCAATTAAATATACTATCCATTTAATTGTATAATTTTAAAAAATTTAAGAATTTAAAATAAAATTAATTTTTATTTGCACCTTTATAAGTTACATCATACCGATGCCGTTATTGACGAGCTAAGATCCCTTTTCCTTTTCCTTCCTATTTATGTCCCCTGCCTTTCCTTGTTCCAATTAAGGCTCCTTTGTTTCCTCTGCAAATGGAGAACTACGAAAGGGCTGCAATCTCTCCAATTTCCGTTTCCACTCCTCCATTTTCCTACACCCCCTCATCCTCTTCTCCTCCTTCGCAGCAATCTTCTCCACTTCTCCCTCCTCCTCTTCCCCCTCCAACAACCATTCTCAGTCCTTGCGCCGCCTGCAAAATCCTCCGCCGCAGATGTGTTGAGAAGTGTGTTCTGGCCCCATATTTCCCCCCAACTGAACCATATAAATTCACCATTGCTCACCGAGTCTTTGGTGCTAGTAACATCATCAAGTTCCTGCAGGTACCACCATAAATTCCACAGCATGCATTTTAGTTTTTTCCTTTAAAGTTTGATTAATTGTTTCCCATTCATCAATTTCAGGAACTACCGGAATCTCAAAGAGCAGATGCTGTGAGCAGCATGGTATACGAAGCGAATGCGAGGATTCGGGACCCCGTCTACGGCTGTACTGGGGCAATATGTCAGCTGCTGAAACAAGTAAGCGAGCTACAGGCGCAACTGGCGAAAGCACAGGCGGAACTGGTGACCATGCAGTGTCAGCAAGCCGACTTGATTGCTGTAATCTGCATGGCTCGAGAATCCTTCTCGCAACAACAGCAATTCACCGATGACACCACCTCTTTTCTCAACGAAACCGCTCTGGACTCGGCTTGGGAACTTCCTCTGTGAACATGAAGAAATAGAATTATAATTAACCTCTTGATAAAGAAATTAGAATATAGTTGAGAGCATTAAATAAATTGAATTTAATCTTTAATAGATATATGTGTTATTGGTTAATTTAGTAATTTAAGATATATAGTTAGCACGAATCAAGTCTTCTGGTTTGCCCCGAGTTTTAAGACGTTTGGGTTAATTGTTTAGATTTTGAATTCTACCAATATTTCTCCCCTCCCTCGTTGTAAACTATTCAAAAAAAAAAAAGAAAGAAGAAGATATATAGTTAACACGGAATAACACTTCAAAATTAGTATATTATTAAGTTCTGTTTGATTACATTTAATAATATTACCACTGTGATTTTAAATCCCAATTCCATGAGCTTATGCTTATTGTTGAATCAAAGCAACATTAGTTACCTAGTTTTGTCCTTCTAAAATGGTTTATTGTGAAGTTTTTTTTTTTTTTTATTTTGTCAAAACTAGATCTTGACTAAGAGGCGAGAGATTAGTTGTTCACTACTTTGCCGGTGACAAAATTAGAATAATAAGACTTTTCATCTAAGAAGGGGGATGTGATGGCCAAAAACAAATTAACAATAATCTAAGAAGGGGGGTGTTTTATTCCAACAAACATATACATCCACCGTAAGAAATAAAAAGATTTAAATTTAAGATTTTTAATTAACATTAAGAATTCAATCAATCACATCAAATGGATAAATGCCAAATGGACCAAAATCTTATTAATTAATAGGAGAAAATTGTTCATAAAAAAAGAATAGAATAGAAAAGTGATTTTATTTGTCATGTAAAGCACTATCCATAAGATAAAAGTGTTTCAATAAATTTTTATTGAGAAAAATGAAAATAATTTATTTATCAAGTAAGATTAAAATTATTTTCTATTAATAATTTATTTTTAAAATAAAAGTAAAATTATTTTCTCTTAATATTTTAAATGTCTATCCAATTAATAAACACCAATTTAGATTAATTCATAATTCTTAAATTAACAATGAGAAAGCATTAGATTTGATCATTTGATATGTATACTTAATATTTTAATAATATTTAATATTTAAATCATGATACTACCATATTGCAATTTCTAATTTCCTATCCCAAACTTGTACCTATTAAAAAAAATTATCAATAAAAAAAGTTAAAGCTTTTATTTTTTAAAAAAAAATAAAGGGTAAAAATTGCAGTGGAAACTTGTTGAATTTTCCAGAAGAGCATCTGGAAAAACCTTTTTCATTTCCTACTAGACTTTGAAAAACCTTTTTCTGCACGTCAAGGCTTAATTCAATTTTTAGTCTATTAACTATTACCTTAATTTTATTTTAGTCTAGAAATTATGTTTTACTTCTAAGTGGTCTATTAACTTTCAGATTCATTTCAATTTCATCTACCTAGTTATCTTTGAACCGAAAACTTACTATTATATTAAAGAACAGTTAGTCCTCTAATTATATTTATTTTAATTTTTTAGTCCTTAAATTTATATTTACTGTAAAAACAACTTTTATACTTAAAATTATTATTTCTAAACTCTGATACCGAATTTTTATTCAGGTTTTTAGAACTTAACTCAGACTACTACTAACTAATGAATAGCTGATATGTTAAGCTTAGTTAGTGTGGAATTAGATCTACTATACTACTAAAAAAAATAATCACTTTCTAGTTGTGTCTAGATTTTATAATTTTTTTTATCTATATCACTTTTTAGGTCTAGAATTATTCTGTTATACATTTTTACGATTTGATCGCAAATTTTTCAACGATTGCTTTTAATGTCTTTAATAGACCTTATTTCTTCTTTTGTTTCTTTCAATTTTCTAGAATTTTTAACATTATTTATTTATTTTTTAGTAGAATCAAATTCTTGAGAAAGAGATTTTCTCATTTTTTTAATTCTTCTTAAGGTATTTTCATTAATTATTTCTATTTTTAGAATATTATTAGTTATTTATTAGTTAGTAGTAGTTTGAATTAAGTTCTGAAAACCCGAATAAAAATCTGGTATCAGAGCCTAAAAATAATAATTTTAAGTATAAAAAATGTTTTTACAGTAAATAAAAATTTGAGGACTAAATGATCAAAACAAATATAGTTAGAGGATTAATTGTTCTCTAACATAATAGTAGTAAGTTTTCCGTCAAAGATAACAGGTAGATGAAATTGAAATGAATACGAAAGTTAATAGACCACTTAGAAATAAAATATAGTTTCTAGATTAAAATGAAATCAAGGTGATAGTTAATAGATTAAAAATTAAATTAACCCGCACGTCAATGTATTAGAAATAGGAAAAAGAAAAAAAAAAAAAAGGTTATGTACGGAGTATATATTATATCACTTATATTAAAAATGTTACTTATGTTCCGTATATTAAATAATAATAGCCATGGATGTAATA